AACTCCATGCATTTCAATTTGACTGGTGTGTCACAGGTAGACGAAGGTACTCATTTAATGTATTCATGATAGTAACCAAAACGTAAAATACGCGACAAATATAAGAATTGTCGAATGATGGTGTCCAAAAAAATGATTAAAAATCGATTTCAAGATAAAACATGGCCTTGCGTCGACCTAAGACCAGATTCAAGTTGGTTGCGTCCCTGACGACGACTATGACAAATTTGTGACACTTTGCTTTGACCTAGTTAGACCTAGGGATTCGTTTTGGTCAGGAAATATCGTTATTGACCCAAATTTCAATTCGTAAACGTCAAGCAAACTTAAACGCCACTCAAGATTTCCCCAAAACTACATGGTCTTGAATTTTCTGGTCTAGGGGGCATTGTAATTTTGATTTCTAGCTGCAAAAGGGAGCAGGGAACTTACACTCCGTTTTGCCAGCTAACGCATTGCCATTCGCGGTTACTATTTCGCGATCACTCAAGCTTTGGACCGGATCAGCAAAAAACTGATCCGTAAAGGAACTTTGACAATTACGAAATAAATGACGATAAGATTTGGTGTCTCTGATGCTATATCACATCCAAACCATGTACTGGCAATTGTCTTTACTATCCTTTATCGATTTTATGTATTTTGGCAGCTTCACTTTGATTGGTTCGGTATCCAGTTACATCGTTTGATGACTGCAAACAACCAGATCGATAAGTTGGTTCCATTTAATCATAATCAGTGTGATAGCATCAGCCTGACAGCATAATAAGCTTCAAATAGACGAGAGCATTTGATGCGGAGCACGTTTTTTTCTGATTGACGTTGTCTGCAGAAAATCCGTCTTCCGCCACCGATGACGGTGTACTAAAAGTACGACGTGACTCAATTGCGCATGGCAACTGATGAACCGTCGATTGACTACTTGTGCACACGAAGCCAAATCTTCAAGTCACAGGTCTTTTAAAAAGGAATCGATAAAAATCGATTTCGTGCCGAGTTCAATTGTGGACAGTCCTCGAAATATTTTTATGCTCTTTTGGAATTGGTCAAGCGGACGCCAGTTTGGTCTCCTGAATTTCGAGACATAGGCAAGGTACACATATTCACGCACTCAAACAGTATCAATAAAAAATACGCCTGTTTCCTTTGGTAGGTAGGGCCAACCCACATCGATTTTAGATACACTGCGCCCACTGGAGAGGGATGATATGTGGGGTGGGAGAATCGATAGCCGTAAACCAGGTACCCACAACACCCCTGTGGCTGCATTCTGTCCATTTTCGTGGTCGAAATTCGTCCCCATCGGATTCCACACCTACCAGCCTGGACCTCGCCAGTTGTTCTGTGAAACAGCGGGTCACGCATCAGATTCACAGTAAACTGCAAAATAATTTCATTGATGATAAAACCGGAAATTAAAAAAGATTCGTTGAACTGAGCATTCATTGTGTGTGAAGTGCATGCGTGTACTTCTTTCCTTAGGACAGTCCGTTGGTGATGAGAAAAACGGGGGCGTTTGGTGTGTACAATCAACAAGCCAATGAGAATAAAGAGGTCATTTAAAATAAAACACGAAGTTAAAGCAGCCAATCAATCACCTGAATAAATTTAGTAAAACAAACGCCAGTTGGATGAAAGTTCAGGGTACGCTGCTGAATTCTACGAAGTGTAATGCCGACGAAAAAGTGTATAACACTTTTATAGCCGTCAGAAATGAAGCAACGACTGTTAAATGGCGAATCATGTACAGCGCTGAGTGAATAGGGAGGCAATGACTACCAGCACCTTACGGCCAAGAAAACCATTGGATTGGTACAATCTTTAAATATGCTCGATGCGACCCCAAAAGCACAATTCTGATTGGTCAGCTGGTAAGTCGGTTCAAAGCTTAGCCTCAATCCGAGATACTCACCTATCTACCTAGCACTTTCACAACAGAGCAAAACGAAAATCTCAAAATGGTGCTTAATCAGTAATACCAATTCAACAATGCAAATGAAACCAAAATAAGGGCCAGTTACATTACTGAAGGCGCCCTAAGCCAATAAAAATTGGTTTGGCGTGCACCTTGGTGCATAATTATGGTATTTCACCTCAATTTCCTTGGTTCAAACCTTGGACTTTTTCCCTTGCTAAAAGTCCGTGTAGAAAACTGCATAATTGCACTATTTCTTATTGATTTCCTTATTTAAGAAAACCTTTACGCCAATCGTGCCTTCCATCAAGGTTCTCCATGATTGGTGGAAAATGCCAAAATGGCCTGGCCTGGACAAGTAGCACCAGCGTCCAGGGCTTGGGGAATCGGCACAAGCATTGAACGCGCCCGCCTCTACGCGTTGCTACACGCAACGCGCGAACTTTGTGAATCCATCCTCGCAACCAATCAGATGGCAGACTGGTGTGCGGAGGCGCGTGCCAAATTTGCCCTCGACCACAGAAGCCAAGCATGGCGGTCGATAAATCCAATTTTATCGCTGATTTTTTTTTGTTAACACAATTTAATTTAAATAAGTTGCCATCCTGACAGGAAACCTAGCAACTGGTGAATCCCGTGAAGCGTAGTAGAAGCCTACTCTGGTGGCATACTTTGTGTTAGCGGCGTTTGAAATTGCCGGTTTACGATTACCAATTTGCCATTGGCTACGTAAATGTGCCGTGACCATACTTGCTAATTCGCGTCACTTAGCAGCCGGATATGAAGAAATTTCAGGGTGAATTGGAGATGTGGATTGGGTGTAATTCCCTTGAAATCTTTCTGCGCACCGCACATTCGGCGCATTACAACGATTAGCTGCAAGAAAGCGGCTACCTAATTGGACTTTAAACTGACAAGCTGCCTACACTTGACAATGATACGTGCATTTTAGGGACTTCTCCAACAACGATGGTTTGTTGGTGTAGTCACACCTTTAAATTCATTAACTTACTAAATTTCCCTGCGAACGCACGGGGTTTAATTAAAAGTAACCTTCATTAGTGCCATTGATTCTAAACGCAAGTGCAAAATTAGGTTATGTAATGACAAGATGCATGTCACGGTTAAATATAGTACAGTTAGGTGTGTTTCATCTAGTGAACGGTTGTTGCAGCCCGTCAAGAACCGTAATACACGGCTGGGTCTATGGTTCTGGAAGGTAATTCCCTTCCAGAGATTAGCAACGGAAACCGGTGTGCTGTATTGTGTCAACCAATGGGGTTCGTTTGAGTGTAATTTGGTGATTGGTCGAGCTAGTGAATTACGAGTTAGCGAAAGCCATTTGTCACCGCGTAAGTTAATCAAAAACCAGTGGAATCAGCGCTAAATCAACTGAGACAAGAAGAGATGCCTTTGAGTAAAAAAATATAACCTCAAATTATGAAAAACATATAATGCCAGGTAGTTTGAGGAAAAAGGATCGGACGAAATCATCTTATTATTTTCGCGAGCTAGACTTCATTCAAATTCGATGGAATAATAACTGTAATAAAAATTCCAACCTACCACGATCAAACCTTGCTGTCCGCCAGTATCTGCATAGCTATTCGAGATTCCTAGTTCATAGCTAATCGCTCACCTATTCTTGTCATTTTAATGACGTGTCTGGGGTTACTTTCGTGCATGTGATGTTTGTGATGAACGAACTAAAAAAATTGGCGTTAGACATATTTTCGAAGTGAATTGGCTAGAGAGGCAGATAGTTGTGCACTTTGACCAATTGCCGCGTAACAACTGCAAACGGTTGAGCCCCTCTCTCTCTCCATACTCTATCGTGACTCGACTGCGGCAGGCAACTTGCAAGTCCGATGACGACAGCGACTGGGAAAGCACGATTTTCGCCATATTCTTGGACGTCTTTTCGTTTCACTTAAACAAATGACATGGAGAACAGGCCCTTTCTTTATCGATCAGTGATGAATATCCAATCCAGAAGCCTGTTTTAAGCTATCTGACAGCGTCATTGATTGATTGCCGAGTGAATATAATCACTTCCAAATACGGACTTGGGTTTATCGAGTCCAGCAGACGAATTTGGTGTATAAAACACCATCAGAAGGCCCAAATTACTCTGGATTAACTACACAGACAACAGAAACTGGCATGGCGCTCAGATATGTGTGGTTGGGTGACACCTTCAGGGCCCGCTTCGACAGCAAGATGCTGGGTGTGCTAATGTTCTGTAGAAGCAAGGGCATTCGACAGGTCCAGAGTGCAAGTTCTTGTTTTCATCTACATTGCCGCAACAGCTGACTTTCAGTGATAAGGCCACACGACTTAACCAAAACAGGACGAACCCCCGCACACGCCATGATGGAGTGAAATATCTGGACTGCGATGAGCTAAACACGATTTGCGGGGGTGAAATTAGTTTGAGCAATGAGGATCAAAGGTGGGTAGACGCTGGCTTGGCCAAAGTGAGGCTAACACAAACGAACTACGCGCCGAGGTTGGAAAATTTAGCCGCTCCCAACTCGGGAAACGAGAACTAGCTCAACATGGGCAACGGAAAATTGCAGACACAACCAGGCATGATAACATGGGAACCGAACGTTAACCAACCGAACACAGTGGTCAAAGAGGTGCTCGACGCTACTGACGCGAAACACCAACCCACCTACCACAAGGTCTGCGGGCAAAAACCAACCACGAGTCTTGCTATCTTTACTAGCAGCAACTTTATTTAAAAACCTCAAAACTTATGATTATCGCGTCAGTCTGATAAGTAGGTGGGTCCTTAAAAGGAGAGAACTGTACAGTGGCGATGGGAGTGGAAACCAGGAGATAACAGCAGCGAGGAGTTAGAGGATCTGCGTGATGCGTTGTCTGTTTAGTACAACTCGTTGGAACGCTTCACACTGGAAAAGAGAAAACAGGATTTGACCACACACTAGACAAGCCACGACACACTGGCTTTCATAGCAGTAAATATCGACTGGTAAAAATTGGCTCACGCCCGCTTCGTCCTACGGACAACAATTGGCTTCAGGTAATCCAAATCGTGCAATTACTGTTCATGGAGCGCTGGATTACACCCTCCCTCGACTCTCTGAATTTCAGGATCTCATAGGTTTGTTGGCTTTCGCATTATCACAACCACCTCATAAGATCCTAAGTCATCCGTTCTCTCTAAGTTCTGCATTTCATTTTGAAAAAAATGCATCAAACGCTAAGCATTCGCCAACGGCGGAAACATTCCGATTCTTGATTTTGTGCACACCAAAGAATGTTCAAACTACCCTGGTATGTTTACGGATACAAAAGGGTTAAGAAAGCTTATAAAATCGACGTGCAAATTTTAATTAATCAATACAACTGCCTTAACGACCGGTTAACACATGCGAATCACCAAGCTTCCACGAAGCACAAACTGCAGAGACCTTTTTACTACACAGGCAAGGAGGCATCATCCTAAATTCACATGCTTCAATAACGGCAAGAACGGACATCAAATAACAAGGAAGCTTAATTTCAAGAAACCAAAAAAATCAGCACCAAAATGACCGTATTTCTAACAAGCAACCCAGATTTACTACTACTTGACAAAACTACACACTGTTCACCTACAAGCCCTACACTGGTCTAATGGCTAGGGATCACGAATTGATGGATGCACAGACAACAAAGAAACTCACCAGAGTTGTAAGTAGAACTGAGCACTCTGTATCTGCTCAGGAGTGCCCGTTATCGTGATTATCCTATCCTCAGAGCAAGGGTCCAATGGACTGACTTTTATTTCGGCAGCCGACACCCTCCGAACCTGATTAAGCCGCTTGCCACCACGTCCCATTATGGCACCAACCAGCTAAATAACAAGCAAATATCACACCACAGGTCAGCCCATGCG